TAGTGAATATATTGTCAATTAATGTTGCGGTATGTTCAGTTATCCTAGTTGGTCTTGTAATAAGAGGCAAAAATGATGACGTAAAAAGTTGCTCATTGAATCTATTCGAAAAGTCACAACTTTCAGTTTTTAAGAGGTCAATGTTAAAATCGCCCATTAAGTAAGTTATTAATTAAGTTATTAGACTGATTAAAAGCCTCTATGCAAATTTGAAATGTGCAGTCAAGCTATCTAAATCAAGAACAGAATTCTTTTCATACTCTAGGGGTGTACGCCAAGGATGTGTACTAAGCCCAATTCTGTTTAACTCATTAAGCGGCAATGCGCCCGAATGCACCCTGAGATTGGCAAGGGGGTAAGCGGCAATGCGCCCGAATGCGCCCTAACATGACTCCTTAACTTGCGGGCATGATATTTGAGCACATGTTTATCGGGTTGCCTAGCAACGGATACGAAAATAGAACGTGAAATTCGAGCTTTTCAACGGTGTATCATGCAAGAAAATCGGCCAAAAACTCGCAAAGTTTTTCAAGTTTAAAACTTTAGTTTTTCAAAATAATGACCAATGGCGATACTGTTGCAAAGAATGGTTTTACAGCAAGTTTTAAAAGCGAAGAAAGAAGAGGTTTTTGAATCATCTACAACAAAAATTTGGCACGAAAGGAAAGCGAATGTATTGACGTTTTGGGGCCAAGTTCTTCTGTGAACCATCCACGCGATTTTCAGCCAAAAAGATGAGGATTTCTCCAAACTTTATTAAAAATAGAAGTCGGACATCAGAAGAAAGATGAACACGGAACTCAAGTGAGCAGATACGATATTTTTAAGGGTATTTTTGAGTACAAATATGCGATCAAACACTCACAAAATGCGACCGCATTAAAGTTGGTTGAATCTAGTTTAAAGTTATCTTTTTAGACGAACGGTTTATGCAAATTTGGGCACAATTTGGACTGTTTTCGTAACCCCATTGTTGGTCTTCTTGTTCAAGTTGTTATTTTAGCTAAAGTATGTTTCAAACGACACCAGATTAAATTACTGTGTGCGTACGTGCCCTTTTTGGCAAGAATACTACGAGTATTAAATTACACTAAGTAAGTAGGATACTCCAAAATCACTGTTATATCTATTTTCATTAATTTAGTTTTAAAACGACAACTCGTTTCAGACATATTGTGGTTTAAAATAAGTGTATTGAATTAGTGTGCTTGCTTGCCGCGTGCGAATTTTCAAAAAGTCTGCACTTGAGTTCTAAAGCTTTTAAAACGCTTTTTCTATTGGGTTTTATATCCCCATAAAACTTTAAATCGATAAAGCAGATAATAATGTTGATGCAACCTCATTTTCTAGTAACTACACATTGAATCAGAAGGAAAAGTTATCAAAAATAGGTCGCGACCGTTGCTTGCAAAATGCCGCTTCTCTCTGAAATGGCTTCCTTTGCGGGAAGCCATGAAATTGAAGTCCTAACAAAAACATAGTTTAGCAGTTCTTTTGGGCCCATAGCTCACTTATTTATCATGAAATCACTTCACTAGAACATTTTTAATAATGTCTATGGGAAACTTTGTTATTTTCTGAACTAAAAGTTTATGGTTTTGAGGTGTTTATTTTATAAAATAGCACGTGCGACAAAATGGCACTAATGTGGTTTCTCATGTCTGACAAACAACCAAAGATGAAAGTCCTTATTTCACCCTTTTATAGCTATGTTGAATACCTGAATATTCGGTTATCTTTTCATTTGAGCATACAGATAACATTTCTACACAATTAGTCCTTATGAAAGCTTATTTCAGACTAAAAAAAGCGATTGTTTTTTAGAGCCAGACTTCAAAAGAAAACGTGTGTCTGACATTTTATAGCAGCCTACATTGGCGCGCAAAATAATTTTGGCTAAAAACCGTTTCTTTCCAAACAGAAACATGAGAAAATTGAGCTAAAAGGCTTACCTGATGTATGTTTAAAATGTTTTTGTCTTTATGGTGTTTTTCAGTGCTTTGAGTAGAGAAGTGAATAACTTTTGGTTTTGTCACCACAATTTGCCTTTGAAAATGTCGGCTGTCATTGTCAGTGTTAAAAACACCTCAGAAAATTCCTATTTTCTCACCTTCCCATCCTTGGTTTATATTGAAAATAAATAAATTCTAGTACCATATGTCCTTTTAAATATATTTGAGGTAATTAAAAACTCCAAACAAACACTGTGTTCTGGCTTGCACATTTTGTTGAATTTGAACACTTAGTTACTGTTCTAAATTTCATGTTGTAAATATCTTGCCCAAAAAAAGCAAATGAGTATTTTTTATAATTTTTGATCGTTTTCTAATTCATATCCCAAAAGATGAAAATTGGTTATAATATAGATATGTACTAATTTAGTAAATGATTTTTTTTTTGTTTTTATATAAATTTATGGAGATATTGTCCCTTTAGGTGATGAGTGACATGAAAAACAAAGTGTCACTGCTTTACAAATAAAAATTCTCATTGAAAAAACTAATGATATATGTAGGTATGCAAAGTCATTTAAACTAAATTTGGTCAATCATATATCACTAATGTTTGGTTGAAAAGATCAGATTTTTTTATGCAACTGTTTCTGAGATATTGCCATTTTGGTGAAAGCTCTTGAATTCAATCACAAATTCGCCATATTGCTTGCGCCTTAGGCGGGTAGAAACATTGTAACAGCTTGCCGCTTAATGAGTTAACTTATACATTAATGAGCTAGCAACAATATTTGAAAATACTAACTCAGACCCATTTATCCTTCCAAACGGCACTAAACTGAGTTGTGTTATGCTGACGACTTAATAATATTATCAAAATCAAGATTTGGACTCCAAAAATGCCTTGATGAACTTCAAAACTGGTGTAATAAATGGCTGATGGAGGTAAACCTCAAGAAAACAAAAATCATGATCTTCAAAAAAGGGAATCCAAAAATGATTAAACCAAATTTTATGCTAAATACCAAAAATGTCGAAATAGTAAATGAATATTGCTATTTAGGTATTAAATTAAATTCAAATGGCACTTTCACACTGGCTCAAAAACAACTGAGCGAAAAAGCACTACACGCATTAGGCAGCATACGAAGACACCTCAACCTACATTACCTTAATCCTAAATTAGCTATCAAGATATTTGAAAGCATAATATCACCGATACTCCTCTACAACTCAGAGATATGGGGTGCTTATCTCAAAAATGATTTCAACAAATGGGATAAGTCACCAACTGAGAAGGCCCACCTACGGTTCTGTAAATTATACCTAGGTGTAGGGAAAAAGGCTAGCAATATGGCTTCGAGAGGAGAACTAGGAAAATTCCCTCTACAAATTAGTATATACAAACGATTATTCAACTATATAACACACTTGAATTCATTACCTGAAACAGCAATTGCAAAACAAGCTGTCTTAATATCAAAAGACCTATACTTGAATAATAAAATGTCCTTTTATAAAAATGCTATGGATATTTTAAAACACTACAAATGCCACTTGCAAATAGTGGATTTAGAATCAATATCTGCTCAATCATTAAATTCTATCATTGACACTGTTAAACAACGTTACATTACATTCTGGAAACACCAAATTGAACACTCGTCCAAATTATATTTCTACTCAACTTTCAAAAAAGAATACCAATTAGAAAAGTATCTTACCGTAATAAGAAACACAAACCAGAGGAGATCATTGACTCGATTCCGAATAAGCAATCACAAATTAATGATTGAATGTGGTAGATACCACAACATTCCCCAAGAAGAATGAATATGTAAGCTTTGTAAATCAAACGAAATAGAAAATGAGGAACACTTTCTTATTTCATGTGATGCCTACGACAATATTAGGCAAGACTTCCTCACTGTTCTCACCAACAATACATACCAAAGAGAACAAAATCTATCAGTTGACATATTAAAGTCAACTGAAAATGAAACGATTCTAAAACTATCCAAGTTTGTTCTTTCCTATTTCGAGCTAAGATGGCGACTGGACGACACGATGCTAAGCGCACTGCGCACAAATTAAATAATTCAAGTACCAGTTCGCCCAGTAAAGCGACTAAAGCAAAAGATTTGAAACATAATGATGATAAGAACCAGGAGGACGAAATAGAAACCGAAGAACAAGTAGAGTTGAAGGACATTATGGTTATGATGAAAAATATGATGAGAAAGCTAGAGAAATTGGATGTTATTGAAACTAAAGTGAAGTCAGTCGAGCAAGAGCTGAGAAGTATGAAAGATTCAATAGAATTTGCGCATTCAGAAGTTAAAGATTTGAAAAGCGACAACGAAGAACGCAAAAAAATGGACGAGCTAACGAGACAACAAATAGAAAAATTGGAGAAAGAAAATGAAATCTTACACAAGAGCGTCATTGATCTTAAAACAAGGTCAATGCGCGATAACTTAGTGTTTTATAACATAGACGAAAACAAGGATGAGAACACTACAGATATAATTCATCAAATTATGGAACATAAATTGGGCATGGAGAATGCAGCAAGGGAAGTGAAGATCGATAGATCCCACAGACTGGGAAAACAGAGATTTGGAGCAACGAAGCCGCGACCAATTGTCCCCAAATTTAATTTTTATCCCGACCGCGAACGAGTTCTACAAAACGCAAGAAAACTGAAAGGAACAAAAATAGGAATTGGTGAACAGTTTCCTGATGAGATTCTGAAAATACGCAAGGAGTTATATCCAGAACTAAAGAAGGCAAGAGATGCGGGTAAAAAGGCGAAACTGGTTAAGGACAAACTTATTATTGAGGGTCAGATTTTTTACAAGCCGACGACATGATGCTAATACAAAGTATCGTATTTCATTGGACTTTGTATCCTTATTTATATACTATTTGTGCATTATAATATAATTCCCTTTAGTATACAATTATAGTAACTACAATGACTAGTATAGAAAACACATATAATAATCATCCCTTCCCTTTTCACAGTCTTACAAATAATGATTTTAAAACACAAAACGATGATTGCAACATTTATGATATGGATAGACTGAGTCATTTGAAATTTAACCCGTTCCAAACTAATAGCAAAATTGCGTTGTCCGGAAACAATGATGACTTAGATTCATTATTTGACATTAATAACATCGACTGTAAATATCTTTTGCCGATGGAATTTAAGAGTAAATTATCATGTTTAAAACAGGAATCTGAGTTTAGTTTGCTCCATCTAAATATAAGAAGTATATCTAATAAATTTGACGCTTTTAAACATTTACTTGATTCGTTGGATAAGCAATTTCAGATAATAGGTCTGACAGAAACTTGGCTGAATGACATAAATTGTGAGAACTTTGAACTTAACGAATATAATTTTATAGGATCTAACAGAACAAACAAAAAAGGCGGGGGAGTAGGCATGTATATTTCAAATGACATACAGTATAAAACCCGTAAAGACCTAAATGAAAATATAGAAGATTCAATTGAGACGATGTTTATCGAAATAAGTAAACCAAACAGTAAAAACTTGATTATAGGAGTGATTTACAGACCACCCAACAACAAAATTGAATCATTTGAGAATGCAATCAATAATATATTAAGTAAGATTGGAAGAGAAAACAAAATTTGCTACCTTATGGGGGATTTTAACACTGACTTGCTCAAATCAGAAACTTGTGATTATACAAATAGATTTATTGAACAACTCTTTACTTCTTCATTTTTTCCACTTATAACAAAACCAACAAGAATTACTGCTCATACAGCAACACTTATTGACAATATCTATACCAATAACACTGAAAAAATCAATAATAGTATGAATGGAATAATATTTACCGATATCTCAGACCATTTACCTATTGTACATGTTTGTAATATGAATAATTACAAAGAAACTCCGAAATTACCTCAAAATAATGTTAACTATAAGAGAACATTTAATGATAAAAATATAAAATCTTTCATCAATGCCATGAAAAATACATCGTGGACAAAAATTCTCACTAATAACAATAACCCTGATGATGCCTTCAATGAGTTCTCGAAATTGTTCATGATGGCCTTTGAAACAAATTTTCCACAAAAAATAATCAAGAAAAATATCGATAAAGAAAAGAGTCCATGGATGACAAATTGTATACTAAAATCGGTAAAAAGGAAAAACAAACTATACAAAACATTTTTGAAAAATCCAAGTAGAAAAAATGAAAAAACATATAAGAGATACAAAAATAAATTAAATCATATAATACAATTATCAAAGAGATTATATTATGAAGAACAATTAATTAGATACAAAAACAATTCTAAAATGATTTGGAAGACTTTAAACAATGTTCTTAATAGGAAACAAAAAACTAAAGAACTGCCAAGAGAGTTCATTATGGAAGATTCTTCCAAAAAGATAATTGATCCAAATGAAATAGCTAATACTTTTAATGAATATTTTATTAACATTGGACCAAAAGTAGCAAGCAAAATTAAAAATACAACTAACGCTACTTTCAACAACTACATGGAAAATAAAAACATAAATACTATGTTTTTCGATCCAATTACAGAAACTGAACTAGAAAATGAGATCAGAAATATGAATCCAAACAAATGCCCTGGTTATGATGGTATTTCTATTAAAACAATCATACTATGTGCAAAAGAAATTTCTAAACCTTTGACACATATATACAACTCAACATTTATAACAGGAATTATTCCTGACAAATTAAAGATTTCCTTAGTTACACCAATTTTCAAAGCAAATGAAAGTAATAAATTTGGAAATTACCGACCAATTTCAGTCCTTAGCTGTCTCTCAAAATTATTAGAAAAACTCACTTACAAACGATTCATTGAATTCATTGAAACCCACAAAATCTTATCAAGACATCAATATGGATTTAGAAAAAATCGATCTACAGAACATGCACTAATTGAGCTTGTTGACAAAATAACTACAGCGATAGATGAAGGGAAATACACTATTGGTATTTTTCTTGACCTATCCAAAGCATTTGATACTATTAATCACCAGATTTTGATTAATAAGTTAGAGCACTATGGAATAAGAGGAACGTGTCAAAAGTGGTTCAAAAATTACCTAAGTAACAGAAAACAAATTGTAAAATACAATCAAACCAAATCAGAAGAAATGACAATAAAAAGTGGAGTCCCCCAGGGTTCAATATTAGGGCCACTCCTGTTTTTACTATACATTAATGACATTCAAAACTGTAGTAAATTAATTTCGATTATATTATTTGCGGATGATACAACTATTTCTTACAGTCATAAGTGTCTTAAAACGCTCAATGAAACTATTCAATTAGAATTAGACAAAATTTCAAATTGGCTAAATGTCAATAAACTTTCAATAAATATCTCAAAAACAAAGTTTATTGTTTTTAGGTCGTCAAAGAAAAAACAAAACTATGATACAACAATTTTGTTAAACAATGAAAATATTGAACAAGCTAAAACAACTACATTTCTGGGTGTGATCATTGACGAACACTTAACATGGAGTCATCATTTAGATATGATTCACAAGAAAATCATGAAATCTACAGCAATAATATCTAAAAGTAGACATTATATAAATATGAATGCTCGAAAGCTACTATACTATGCCTTAGTCTATCCATATCTGATTTATTGCAACTTAATATGGGGTAACACATACAAAACAAGAATTCAAAGGTTAGTAAGCATCCAAAAAAAGATAATGAGACTAATAACATTTAATTCTTATTTCGAACACACAGAACCAATTTTTAGAGATCTAGAAATATTAAGCATTGAACAAATAAATTGCTACCTCACCAGTATATTTATGTGTCGATATAATCATTCAGAAAATCTACCCGAAATATTTAACAATTATTTCACAGCTAATTATGAAATTCACGACCACAACACAAGAAGTGCATCTCAACTTCACACAACTTTCAAAAGAACTAACTATGCAAAACATACTCTTGCTCACAAAGGAATAAATGTTTGGAATGTTCTCTTAAATAAATACAAAAATATTAAATCTTACACTTCTTTCAAAACATGTATTAAAAAACACTTGTTATCAAATGAAAACGAAATGCAAATTGCATTGATATAAACTGTCCTATTTGTACATATAATTACCTTTATTTACTGATTATGAACTGATTATCTTTAGTCTATAACAAATGATGTTTCTGTAAATATAACATAGTCTAGGGGTCTTAAACAAAAGCCTTATAGGTTTCTAGTAGGCCCCTAGCCCTACTGTAATAATGAATTAGTTTACTTTTGTAAATATTATTAACATTTTTTTGGGCGAAATTAAATTAAATTAAAATTTGCCTGTTCTTAAAAAGAAAGGGAAACGGGACGCCATATTGAAGAGACGTATGTTGCTTTGAATATTAATGACTCGAGAGACGTGGATAATGATGTTAACCGGCCATTTGTTGATGAAATTCAATGGGAAGAAGCTATTCCTAATGTTATCGAAAAAATTCCAGCAAATAGCCGTTCCATACAAGATGACCAAATGTTGTCCCTTGAGGCCCTTCAAAGCCAAATACAAGCTCTTACCAAAGAAGTAAACGGAAATACGGCTGCTCTAGAAAACATAAGGGAACCAAAAATGGTCTCCAATCCATTGTTAGTTCAAAAATCAAAAAACGAAGTTGATTGCCTAAAAGAAAAAATTTATAAACTGATGGACGAGAACAAACTTTTGAAAAACGAAAATAATGAAAACATCGAAAGATTCAACAACCTATCATTTATACTAGCTGACTTGCAACAAAAGACAAAAAACGCAGAACAAGAAAGGGACAGCGTAATTACTGCCATGCGTCTGCTAATTGCTGAAACCAATAGCGTAGTAGAAAACAATGTTATTGAACAAAAGCTGTGCAATGAAGTGGATGAGTGCACCCAGTCAAAAGATATTATAAACCCGAATATTAAATTAAAGAACAAATATTCGGTACTGGAAAACGAGCAAGTAGACGGCGGCGAATCAAGCGCAATATCAAACCAGAAAACTGAGGAAGATCAAGTACAACAAAAAAAGAAAAGGAAATCCAAGTCAAAGAAAAAGACAACCAAAGATGACGCATCACGTAAGCTGCAGGAAGTAGAACAGGCAAAAGCTGAACAACAAGAACAACAGCCTCAACAACAGAAAAGGAAAACTGTTGTTGTAGCAGGAGATTCTATAATAAAATACGTGAAGGGGTGGGAACTATCTAATACCGAGCAAAATGTCGCAGTAAAGTCCTTTTCAGGCGCCACCGTGGAGGATATGAACGACTTTCTCAGACCAACAACTCGAAGGCAACCTGATAAACTGGTCATACACGTGGGCACAAATAATATACGAAGTTCGACGCCGCAGAATGTTGCTGACGAAGTTACTAAAGTGGCACACCAGTTCAAACAGGAATCGAAGAAAACAAGAATAATTATTTCATCCTTGATCATTAGAAAGGATAATCCCGAATTTGCAAGTAAGGTAAAAGAGACCAATGTTGCTTTGAAACTGAAATGTGAAGAAAACAATTGGTCGTTTATAGATAATAGTAATATAAACAGCTTACATTTAAATCGCAGGGGCTTACACCTAACTCATAAAGGGAGTGCCCTACTACAAGCCAATATAGGAAATATATTAAAATGATATGATAAGAGGCCGAGGGGAAAAGATAATGAGACAAATTGGTCAGATATTCCTAAATTAAGAGGTTTTAGAATGGCTATGTTCAATATAGCTAGCCTTCCGAAACACCTTGACGAAATTCGCCTGCCATTGCATGATAAAAAATTGGATGTCTTGGCACTA